AAATCTAAATTAATTTAACCCTTAAAATAAAAAATTAATCAAACTAATTAAAATTTATTAATCCTTTAATCTTTAAGTAATAAAGTCCATCTGATTATCCAATCCTTAAAATATATCTTAAGTTAAATTTTAAAATATTAACATTCAGACTCAAACATAAATATCTCATTCATCCTTTAACAAACCTAAACATTAAAAAACCTTACCAAACTACCCAACTTATGACCTACTCCAGCCACACAGCCTTTAACACACACTTTAAATGGTTTGTTAGGATAACCAACTCTAGCCTAGGCTAGGTTGGTGTTTACTTTACAATTTTGTGCCAGGTTTTTCGAGATTTTCTTACATATTGTGATAAAAATTGATTGATGTGTTTGTTTACTTTTACTATATTCTATGAATTGATGATTTGATTTCCCTTAGGATAAGAATGATTAGGTTGCTCACATAATTTTCTTCAGGTGGTCATGCTTGTACATGACAATAAAAGAGGGTTAAAATTTTGATAACTATAAATACTACATGTGTTTTAGCCGCTTAGCCCCTAAATAAATAAGAGCATAGTCAAGCATGGTTGGTTTGAGTATTTCAATTTTATTATATAACTACTTTAGATATTTACTTATATTTGATTGCGTAGGATAAACTTGTAAAAGAGTTTAGATTTTCCTTTTCAAAATCAATGTAATTTTTTTAAAGTATTAAGCTGTGAAAGAGTATTTGAATTTGGATAGAAATATCCAAACTTGGGATTCTAAAGTGGAAAGGATACCCCTAGGGAGATAGTCCTTCTCCATTTTGAAAATCAATTTTGGATAATCTTAATACCCAAAGTAAAAACAATAACTTCCCCTTCGAGAGAAGAGTTTTCTTTTTCATTTGGGTATCCAGGTATGACAAACTCAAGAAACCTGGAAAGGAAAAGACTAATAAACTGTAGATATAGAGGATCACACTCAAATTCACTTGCATCTCTCGTAGGATTAGAATTTAGGCTTGTGGTTAATGGGGCCCAAACACTTTTAATTTCTACAATTCTAGGTTGTAATAAATGGAGCATTTGCCTATGGACTTTACTTTAAGGAATTAATTATATTGATTGATGTGTTTAATTGAATTTGATCGTGTATAGGATTTCTTGATTTTTTAGCCATTGTATATCATTTTTTATTTAGCCTGGATACGTAGAGGCTTGTGAGGGCACGTATAAAATTTTTCTACTTAAATTCAAATAAAATTTTTAGATAACATAGAAACTCTAATTATCTAAGAAGTAAGTTCGGAACCGCTGGAAATCTACACGAAGCATATCATTACCATCTTTTTCTTGTTAGGAATCTCCCCGCCTGTGGATTCTAGAAGATCACCTGGGCTTTGAAGGTGTAGATATATCATGGGGATATTATGCAATCTCAAAAGAAAAAATAAATTTTAATCTGTTTTATAAAACTACTACATATTCATTTTAAGCATTTAATCAAGTCGATCAACATGCATTGTATAAGAAATCAATTTAAAAATGAGTCTAAATTTTAATTGCATTTATCTTCAGTATTTTCATCCTACATAAGTCAAGGGACCAATTAGGATCCACTCTAGATCTCGATTCCAAATCTCAAAAACTTTAATAACAACGTCCCTACCACTCTCTCATAAAGACCAGAATCATGGATTTTAATCGACTGGGTAGTTAGTTAGCTCCCCAATCCAGGTTGGGGTAAGACCAAATTTTGCACTATATTAGCTAGCTTCTAATTACTGTGTTCTAGTTTTTAAAATTAGATTTAGGATTCGAGGCAGATTCAAAATCATAAAACCTCAACCTCTAAGAATATAATCACAAATTTTTAATAAAATGATCAATTCAAATTAAAATTCTTCTCAATCTAAAATTTAAAGCCCAACATTTAGATTAGGTTGGGACACTTCTAAATTATTTCAGAGTTTGTAAGTGTCTTTAACTTTTCCTCTATTAACTACAGAAACAAGTGATCAAAATTCAAGCTAATCCTGGTTAAAGCTCCAAATTCATCTCCTTCATATCATTCATAGAAAATCTCTAAATAAAATTTATACTGTTATTTTAATCGAGAGTATTCATATGAGATTTTGGTTTCCAACAATGTAATTAACTGCGATGGTTTATGCTCATAGGAGATTTAGAACCTTAATTTTTTAAAATTTATTTAATATTTCTTTTGAGAAATCAAATTTATAATGATCATCATCGTCATGATAGAGTGAGTGCTGACATATGTTATCTTTTTTCTTTGGGGAGATATATAATGTGTTAGCATAAATTTGAATATGAAATTAGTGATCATTTTTCTTGATTATCGTAGTCGAATATTTGACAAAACTTCATTTAGACCCTCCGGGCTCATATATGGATCTCCCTTAAATCAGGCTACGACATTCAAGAGAAAGTCTATAATTTTGGATATGAACCCATTAGAAGATTTTATTTCTGCCTTCCATGGTGATGTATTATCCCCAATGGTATGTTTGACTTCAGAATTGAAGTTAAAATTTAATTCCCAATTTTCTCAAAGTAATTTAGTTTAGATTTGTTTTGTACCTTGTAAGGTAATTTCCCTTTTCAAAATCCCACCAACATCATGGAATGATGGTTTGAGGGATCATAGTTGAGCCACAATTGTTAGAGAGATTATAGTCAGGCTACGAAGGAAATGGAGACCTAATAGAAGGGTGATAGAGGTTTGAGGGATAATAATCAGGCTACAGAGGTGAGGAGAATCCTAGTTGGGTGACTGAGGTTGAAGGACCATAGTTGATGGATAATAGAGGTAAAAAGATAGTATTCTGGCGACTGAGGTTGAAGGAATATAATCAGACAATTGGGGTAAAAGGGACTGTAGTCGATAGGTGACGAAGGTCAGGTTGAGACTCAGTGGTGTCCATATAGATGTTTGATGGTGATGGTTGAGCGGAGGTCTAGTAGTTGTGGTTGGGAAGTAAGGTTTGTTGGAGGTTGTGCTTGAGAGGAGTTCAGGGACTATCCAAGCCCCATAGATCTCTTGAGTCTCCAGTTCAAGATCCAAGTCTCTCAAATTCTCCTTCATGTAGAGAGTGGAGGTATATTTATAGATTTTGAGGGTGGCATGCTCTCTAAATATGGTGAAGATCAAGGGTAAATTTGGATTGCTCCATCAAACAGCTCATATTGATTCCCTTAATCATGAACATTCATTTGGTATTTAAGTATCTTAATTATCTCATAATTAAGTAATCTTTAGCTCATTGGCTCGCTCAATTTGATTAAAGAATTATATATTTAGATATCATTTGGTCATTTAATTAATGTTTTGGAGCTTCTAAACATACTTGGGTCCCTTGATTTGGGCCTATTTGGGCACAGATTGGACAACTTTGGTGTTATTGGGTTCATCTTATGAATACATTCAATTTGACTATAAGCTTACTAAATTTTGAGTTTGGATGGTCACAAATTTAATTTTTAAAGTTTTTAATTTGAATGTCTCAAGATTTATGTCTAATCAAGACAATTTTTCATTGAATGTATTAGTTACCCCCCCCCCCCCCCCCCTCCCTCCCCGTTGGATGTCAAAGATCTTAAAGTTCAAAAATATGTGTACGAGCATTTTAAAGGTAGATGTGAAATTAAAATTTCAAATTAATTGGCCAGAAAGCATGACCACTCCCATGTAGTCAATATGGACCACCCTGGGAGGCCGTTGAACCTAATAAAAATGCGATTGATCATAACTTTTTTCAATTCCATTGGAAATTGGAGTTATCTATTTAAAGCTAAAAATGATAGGAATTCTGCTCTAAAACTTAAAACTTGCTTGAAACTAATTGTAGAAGTTTTGTTTGTCTTTGAAAGTATCAAAATTTAATTCATAATATTAAAAAATGATCTCAAGGACCCCAAAAATATTTCATTCAGACTATTGGGGTCAAAAATTGAGCCTAGACATCAATTGGTAGGCATATTAACACCAGCCTGCTAGCAGGGCGTTCACATAGAATGTGTGTAAGCCCGGCACATAGCCCCCCCAAAAAATTGATTTTAAATTTATAAATTATTAATTATTATTATTAAATTATTTTATTTTTTAATTTTTCTTAACAAAAAAGGGTAAAAATCTAAAAAAATTAGAAAAATTTTAGAATATTTTCTAGAAAGTAAATAATTTAATTATATGTATATTTATTTATTTTCCTTATATATTTTCTTTTTTATTTATTTAAAAAAGGGAAAATAATTTTTAGCTTTTTTAAATTTTCAAAAAATATCTAAAAAATCCAAAAAATTTATAAATTTTTTTTACAAACTTGCCCTCTCTTGGATCTATAAATAACCCCCTTGGGGTGGGGGAAATGGTGTTGTCTCTTATGTTGGTCCAAATATTTTTCTTTTAGTTAGAGAAAGGAGAATTGGTAGAATTGGAGATCGTTGTCGGTGATCAAAGACCGGTTCTCTTAAAACCTGTGAGAAAGGAAGGTTTGGGGTTTACTATAGGTTGTTGAGGATTATTCAAATTTCCTCCATGATTTAATTGGCATGTATTCCACTAATTATTAACATTAATAATATTATTTTATTAATTAAAATTATGGTGATTCCTCAAATCTAGATTGTAAGTATTAGAATAGGGATTATTTTGTGTTCAATGACATTCACATTCTCAATCCCTTAAACATTATCTTCTCAAATAAAATTTAAATCATGCTCTTCCAATTACATATGTGTTCCTAATCTTGAACTAAATCCAATAGTATTTAACTTTTTATATATAGCAACTACCTAAGTAATAAAAATAGATAAAGAATATGATTCATAAACTCTAGCTTCTCTCTTAGGATTCTTATTTATAGATATTTCCTCAATTAATATATAGGCTTCCATAAATAGCTTAAAAATTAAAGATCCTTAAGATTTTGCATCAATAATCAACCTAAGGCATCCTACCAGTCCATTATAAAAGGTCTAAATAACAAACCAAATGGGTAAAACATGGTGAGGGAATTTTTAAAGTATTTTTTTAAATTACTCCCAACTTTCATAAATTGACTCTCCTTTAAACTGAGCAAAATATGTGATATCATTCCTAACCTTAGAAATTTTGAAAGATAGAAAATTTTTAGCTAGGAATTTGTGTGCCAACTCATTTCAATTGACTGTAAAGCTTGTGAGCAAAGAATTCAATAATATCTTAACTTTGTCCTTCAGCGAAAATGGGAACAAACAAAGCTTAATATCATCATCGTCATTTACACTATTATACTTGAATGCTATACATATTTCTAAGAAGCTAACTAAGTGTGGCTTGGGATCCTCAATAGGAGTTCTCCAAAATTGGAAATTTTGAACCATCTAAATTAAGACGAGTTTCAGTTCAAAGTTATTAGCATGAATAGTAGGTCTATTGATAGTCTGGTGGATTCTATTTACTATAGGATTGGCATACTCCATAATAGGTATAGGATGATCCTAATATTGTACCGATTCAGTTATCTCTAAAGCTAAAATCTTTTTGTTCTTTTAAAATTTTGTAAGGGTCCTTTCAATTTTAGAATAAAAAATAAAGATATCTTAGTTGACCAACTTTAATGTGCAATAATTGTGCACCAAAAAGTAAAGAATAATAACTAAACAAATAATATTTTGAAAAAATAAAAAAATTACAAAATAAAGATAAAAGATTAGTAGTCCTAAACATGAAATTCATTCAATAATAAAATTTAAATTATAACGCACACATTACTTCCCTAGTAAAAACACCAAAAACTTGAATTTTTGTGCGGGTGTGACTAGCTGATTTCATGTATGAAATAAAATATGCCTTGCGGTCAATTAATGCTTAGGTTTTCTTTGATATTTATTGCTCACTATATATGTAAGTATATATGTTGATCAAGTAATAAAGTGATTGAGAGATTGCCAATCCCAAGAGAAAGTATTATGGTATATTGCAATTAAACTAGTACCATCTAATATAGATGCAAGATTTATCCTACCGAATAAAAATAAAATGTTTTGAATTCTTTTATTTATGAAGAAAAAAGTAACAAGATTAATGAGAAACTAATATATGAAAAAAACAAACTTTTCTTAATGAGGCTCTTATATATTAATATGAATTAGAGCATATGTATCCCTTGATTTCTATCGAGCTTGTAATAGTGAAAAAAGGAGATTTATGACCTTTCTATTATTCTAATAACTCTATAAAACCTAAAAGGTTTAACATCGTATGTCTAAGTATGCCAACATTCCATTTAAATACTCTTATTTATTTTAATATTCCTCTATTGAGGTAATATATCACACTAAATATTAACTAGACACATGGTCATAATATGCATTAAAATAAAAAAGTGAGATAACAAAAATTATTCATAATTTTGTATAAGGTACAAGAGTCTATATTAATACTTTAAATGTATCCAAAATATTAGCCCAAAACTCAGATATTAGTTAGACATGATAAATATAAAAGATAAACATATCTTCATTTCTTGTATAAAAGAGAAGATATAAAAGAAAAAGTTAGATAAAATGTCAATCGATTAGTATGAAGGTACTCTCCGCACTCCTTTCCTCTCGAAATGTATGATTGCTTACAAAAAGAAAGGTTGTGGTCTTAAAAAAAAAGTATCTTTCTCTTCTCTAGCATCTATTGGACTTGACTCTAAGGGGACACTACATAAAAGTACAACTTCAAACTATTTTTAGTAGAACTCCTACAAACTTCAAACTAAAAACATTTTATAAGGTATAAGAACTAACTCATGCATCACAGTGCTTGACATGGTGGCACTAAAGTGTTATAAGATGAACTAGCTCATCACCGCTACTAGGCTTGCTCTACTAAGTTTGTAACTAAATTAGTTGAAATAGTGTGTCACTTGGTTGAATCGATGTGATTTATCTTTCATTAACCACTCCAATGCAGTGCTATAAAAGTTGAATGTTGTGGCACTTTAATGTGCAATCATGTGATACAAATGTTGTAATGATCGATGCTCCAATACTCAAAATTTTGAGGCTCAGGTGTTGTGATGCAGATTTTTAATATTGCAACGCTAACCTTGGCACCGCTAGGGAGCTGAATTATTTGGCATTTTTATTGAGCCGGCACTGTGATTTCCTAATCTAGCTCTAATGCATTGTAGATGCTAAGATGTTGGTAGTTAAAATTTTGCGGCGCTGGTTTAACACTTATTAATTTATTTCCTTTTTCTTGAATATTTTCTATACAACATCAACAAAATTGTTACATTTTCTTTGATTTTTAAGATAAAAAATAGTACAAAATTTATAATTAATAGTTTTTATTACTATTATTATTACTGTGTGGATACTGATACTACTATTATAATTAATGCTATCACTGATATATTAATGTGAATGATTGAAAAATAAGATCAGATGAAATTAACTGAATGATAAAGACAGGCTGGCTGATTGATTAAATAAGAAAACAACTATTGATGCATAATTTTCTTACATGATTTAAAGCATATCGTTTTTATTTTACCTTTCATTAATTTCAATGGTGACATTTTGATTATTTGTTGGGCTATCTGCAAAATATGTGATTTTACATGTTTACAAGTAAAAATAAGGACCCAATGATATGTGACTTTTGACAGTATGCATGATTTTTTTTTTTTTTTTGTATTTTTAGTTTATTTTATAATCATGATGTATATGTAATAATAGACTGGTCTATTTGAATCATGGCAATTATATACATAACATTATGGGCTTGTAATTATGACACATATTGATGAATAGAAATGTATTATTTTTGTTATTTATATGAATTTGTAAGCTTTGGTTAAATGTGATTAGCTGGTTAGAAAGAATGATGCAATTACTCTATTTTTTTATTCTAGGGTGTGAAAATGTTACCCCGCTTTAATAGTTATGGCAACTCATGTATTATCATGCTCATGTTTAAAGTCATGATCATCTGTTGTTGCATTCAAATTGCATAATTCATGGCATGTTATTGGAGAAGTTTTGACCTATGTAAACATGAGGGAGATTCTAGCCCCACTTGTTGTATGTCCCCCCCCCCCCCAAGTTTAATTTAATCCTCTCATAAGGAGATGAAATTTATTGTTCTTATCATTAAGACTTTGCTCCTTTCTCTTTAGAGAAGCCTTTCATTATATTATATTGGCACTACATAATTCCTATTTGTAGGCTTCAGTGAAATTCTATCATAAGAGTGAGTGTCCCTCTTACATGCTTCAGTGCTCCTTGCTTAAGAGTAACAACTTATTCTTTATGGAAGGAGTCATGGGAGAAATTCATATTTATGATTTTCTTCTTTATAAATAACCTAAAAGAGGCTCAATGTTTTCTTGTACATGCAATATGTGACTTCTCCTTTGTAGGTTCTAAGAAAATATTATCTTGAATATAAGTTATGTTTCACCCTTTCACACTGCAACATTTTCTCTGATAGAAATATCAACTATCTTTTAGGAAGAATATCGAGTAACATCGAAAATTTTCATCTTTAAGGCGGAGCTCCAGTCTTCTGCTTAATTGGATGTTTGATAATCTCTATTTGGAGGGATTTTAATTTGAAAGAGATCTTACCATATTTCAATGTTTCAATTTTATCTATAATGGATAGATAATTATTTTCAACATTTGATGTTATTCATGCCAAAGATGACATTGGACGACATAGTGAAGATACGAAAATTATATTGAAGAAAGTATTATAATTTATGAAGTTTAACCTTTAACTTGATATCAATATTTGTGTTAGTCCCGACAATGCCAATTACTAGCATTGGCGTTGAATTCGTTGAAATCATGTGTTATATTTGAGATAAAATTTTACCTCATTGCCTTAAATTTTAAAAGAAAAGAGACCACTCATTGAAAGATAGTGTAGGTGTTTAAAGATGTATTGTATGTTAACATTATATAAGTCAAGTTTTTCTATTTGTGACTTTGAAATGTAAATTTTTTCATGTATAAGCTTGATTGATGTTTGCCATCAATTCATTAGAAATAACAAGTTGACCGTCTTTGTATAAAAGTAATTCATACTTGAGCATAATGACCTAAAATTTTTAAGAGCTCTCAAGGCTTACACCTTCTTAGAATTCTTTAAGAATAAAATTTGATTCTTCAGAGATTCTTAGAGAATTGAAAAAATCTATTCCCTTTGAGATTTGTGCCTTTTGAGATTTTTTGAAAACTAGATAAGCTTGTACTTACTTTATGAGATATTTGACCTTATGAAAATTTTAACATATCTATACATTTTAAGGCTTATGCCTTATACAATCTTTAGATGATCATATACCTTCAAAGGCTTCTCTCTTTTGAGATTTTAGGTGTGCATATACATTCTTAGGTTTATGCCTTTAGATGTTTTTGACATATATGTACCTTTTAAGACTTGTGTTTTCTAAGATTTTTTGATGATCCTACACCTTTTGAGCCTTCTATCTTCTAAAAATTTGAGATGAACCTAAACAATCTATGATTTATATCTTTTGAGATATTGGATGAATGGAGGCTCTGTTAATGACTTGCTCTCATGATTTTTTCTAGTGGAAATCACATTCACTATTAGCTTCACATCAAAGCCACCTTATATGTGTGCCTTACATATACTTAATGGGTGTGTAATTAGATGACACACGCTGAATTTGGTGAGAATGATATCTTTTTTTTTATTGAGTTGGTCGATAAAATTTTCATTCTGAATTCTTATATTTATTTTAGGATTATTTATATTACTTTAGAAGAGCAATGATGGCATCATCAATATTTTTAATGGTTATGCTTGAGGAATAAGATCAATGTTGGAGCAAACTATCTCTCACGTCATTAAGGAGTCTACCTCGCCATTGAATCTCTTTGGCTCTTTGCATCTTGGCACGGGACATTGGGACTTAAATTTCTTTGATGGATGCAAGTTCCAGATTTCTCATGTTGGGAAAGGCTGTCTTTATCATTTTCATTAGCTTTCTTCTCTATTTATGCCGAGAAGATATTGTAGATGGCAACAGTTCTACTACTATGATCTGCTTTTGGACAGCCATGGGATCCGTAAGTTATATGCTCCAAGCAGAACA